GTGGTAAAATATGAGATTGATCTGACGGTGGAAACTCCTTCATTAGGGGCAGTACATCTGATGGTCATGATTTGTCCTTTATTGAAAATGCTTGATTTTACTCTTTTAGGAATAAAATGCTCCAAAAGCTTGCATTGCCTTCAAAACGCACGAAATGCTAAAAGTAGTATGTTAAGTCCAAAAACCATTCAGTTCTTTATTAAATACATATTAAAGATAATAGAAAACGGGTAAAATATCGTATATATCACGGATTTGTCGTGCTTGGTCGATCCCGAGCTGTTGTGTCGTGCTTCCGCAAACTTTTATATTTTTATAAAATTATCAAGTTTAGAAAACACCATGCCACCTCGTCCTTCAGAATCGTCATGCTTGATTTTTGCCCAGTTAATCCCTCGATGGTTCTGGTCTCGCGACAGGGTTATTACAGTAACGATAATTGTTGTTTCGTCAAAATAGTAGATAGAAAAGACAAATATTCTTGAGGGTTTAAGCTCACGTATTAGGGTTTAGTACTTTTTAGTTTGTTAAAAATATAATTAGTTATAAAAGTAATATGTATTTGAGAGGGTTTAAGCTTATATACTAGGTTTAGTATCCATTAATTTGCTAAAAATGTAAAATTAAAAATTAATTTTTTATTTCTAAATAAAAAATATATCAGGGTTTAAAATCTATTATTCTTGTGCAAGAAAGTACTTGAAAAATAGTAATTGATTTTTGTTATTTAAAAGATTAACTAAGCAAATTGTTGGATGTAAATAGTTAGTCACTACCAGAACGTGGTTCATAAGGCATAAGTTATGCAGATTCGAGATAGGTTCAGTCAGTCGCTATTATTTCTTCGCTTCATGGAGCTTTTAGTAGTCTCTGACAGTGAACATGGAGTCGCAAGCATGGCACTGACCATGGACTTCAATATAACTATTGACCACCGACAAACAGTCTTAACCAGCAACGATGTCTGATTTGTGGGTTAACCACCGACCGACGACCTCAACACCAATTTATTAACAATCAACGGTTTAAGACGTCAACTTTTGCTGCCTCTCAATGACGAGCGACAAGAACGACGAGTGACGAACGATCGACACGATCATGACCTTGCGATCTTTATTGATTCTTTGTAATTCTTATCGAAACTCACTGATCAATAAAGCTAACGACTTCCCGTCATTCCGTAGTACTGTTTCTATTCGATCCGGTTAAATTTTGCACAAACAGTTTGGCGCTAGAAGGAGGGGACAGTTTCAATTACGTGAGATATGACAGGCAAAGAAAATTGCGAGGTTACGACAGGAGGTAACACCACCCAAGATCCCGCTGCTCAACTGGCGGAACTCACCGTCCAGATAAAGCGGGCTGAAGAACGAGCAGCGTTGCTCGAAGCAGAGAACGTTACGTTGAAAGCTACAAACGAGTCTCTACTTACTGAAAGCAGAGACACCGAGCCCGAAGCTCGAAACCGATACCAGAGACGTGTCGATCCCATGCGGTCACTTGATGGATCTACACCAACTACGGATACAAGGACTGTGATTACACCGGCTGCGGATGCAAGGACGGTTAGACTACCAACAGCTGGTGTATCTACTGCAGATGCGGCTAGAGATGCTGTTCGGTCGCAAGTCATCCAGTCTTTGCTTAACCCTAGCGAAGCAACAACAAACGATGATCCACACTTGGTCCTCAGACGTTTTGCGGATATCGAAGCGGTGATCCAGCGGCTTTCTAGCGTAGCACCACCGATAACAAAGAGCGTCCCTAACTGCTACGCGGATAATCCGTTCACAGACGAGATTGCGCTTGTTGAGATGCCAAGGAAGTTTACGATTCCCTTGCTGAGAATGTATGACGGGACGACAGATCCTGACAACCACATTGCAGAGTACAAGCAGCGCATGTATACAACTGCAATTGCAAAAGAACAGAGAAGCCATCATGTGCAAGGGATTTGGTTCAAGTCTTACTGGACCAGCTCTTCAGTGGTTTACGAACCTACCAAACGCTTCGATAGACTCATTCGCGTCACTGACCGATCGCTTTGTCGAGCAATTCGCAAGCAACATAAATTAGGAGAAAATAGCTGATGACCTGTATGAGATAATCCAAAAGAAAGGAGAGTCGCTGCGTAGTTATCTGGGACGTTTCAACAAACATAAAGTGTCCATCCCAAGTTGCGTCATTTCCACAGCCATCTCTGCTTTTAAAAGAGGTCTACTCCCAGACGGTGACCTGTATAAAGAACTGACTAAGTATCAGTGCAGAAACATGGAAGACGAGCTCTCAAGAGCATGGGCGCAAATCAAATGGGAAGAAGATCCTGCTTACTATTATCGACACTCCCCACGAGACGAGTCACGCGAGGCAAGGAATGAAAGAACCACTAGAGACGACAAATCCTACAAGAGACCTCGCAGTGATAGTAGCAGAAGCGATACCAGAGGTAGTCACCGACCATTCAACGAGAGCGAATATGAGAAGCGACAATCTTCGACATGGCCAGACATTAGCAACCTTTCAATCTCTCACGCAGAGTTGGTTGGAGCGTTGAAACACTTGGGTGGAAAGGTAAGGTGGCCACAGAAAATGAGAACACCAGGTGATGAACGTGACACTTCAAGGTGGTGTGAATTTCATAATGACCATGGTCATCAAACTGATGATTGCATCTCCTTAAGAATGGAGGTGAACGAGCTACTAAAGACAGGCTACTTGAGAGAATTTTTTGTCTGACAAGGCAAAAAAATCGTTTTGAGGAGACGAACGATGATAAATCACCAACAGATCATGTCCCTACTTCATATTGCAGGAGAAGTGACATTACATGTATATGCGGCAGGGGTCAACCGACAAACTAAATTCCAGGTTGTGGATTGCACGTCAGCTTATAACGCAATAATGGGATGTCCCTGGATTCATGATATGAAAGCAGTACCTTCGACTCTTCATCAAGCAATCAAGTTTGCTACTCCATGGGGAGTGCAAGAGATCAAAGGAGAACAAGAAAATTCCCGATCTTGTTATCAAACGACATTGAAAGGAACTACAGAGCCCTCCAATGACATTCCACGGTGAAGAGCTAGAGGTGGAGCATCACGGCAAGACGATGCAAGCATAGAATGATCATGACACTTTGCATCTAATGACCTACTACTATTAAGGTTGAAAAGTTTTTTCGATTTTAGCTTTTGGTTTTTTGGTTTTTCCCTTACATTTGACGATGTCCAAGAGACGTCAATGCTTTTCTACTATTCAAATTGTAATGCTTCGCCGCACGTCTACGGACGAGCGTTTCAATGAATGATCTTTTTCATATATAACTCTGATGATATTCTCATCGACCGTCTTTGGAAAATATGCAAAAAGAAAGTCCTTAATGTTAACGTTCACAACTGACATCAACAAGTGACATTCATACCAAAAACAGTTAGGAGCATGATCTCCCCTTACAGAACAGCGACAGCTGCCATTACTAAGCAAGACAATGGTAAAACCATTGCACATTACGAGTGTTATTCACACCAAACACACTCGGGGGCATGACCTCCACATACATGGTAGCGCCACTACCAAATAAGACAATGGCAAAGTCAATACACTGACAAGTGTTAGTCACGTTTAGAGGCATGATCTCCATATACAAAGCAGTGACAACTGCCATTACAAAGCAAGACAATGGCAAAGCCGTTGCACATCATGACCACGGTATAACTAAACTTAAGAAGGAGGTAATGCCTACAGAAAACATGAGTAACAGTCTCGGTTCACATGATTGTGGTGACTGTCATTACTTGGCTATAGGCATGATCCTGTTGAAAACGAAATAATCATCGTCAGTAAATCTTGAAAAAAAGATTAGTAGACAACTACAAACTCAGGATATATATCCCATATAGAAAAACACACAACCAACTAACATCGACATGCGTTCCATGACGCCCAAGCAACGGTTACACACCGAATGCGCAGTGCACGTGCCATATGGCATTACACAGAAAAAGCAAAAGACATTCACAATGTTAATAGTTGCTATATAATTCAAGCAACGACGATCACTAGAAAAAATAGTCTCGGGAGCAATGATCTCCTAGGAAAATTGATAGATACGACATGACTACGGTTGTTAGAAGGGGTAACACCTCTCAAGAAAAGTGATGATGATCGCTTAAAATGCTAAAGGCATTAAACACATAAAAATTAGAGACTAGTGATTGTGTCAGCCAATCGCGACGACAGTCCCACGTAAACAAATCAATAGGGACGATCTCAAAAAGATTGTGACGATGATCATTACAAGAAAAATCAAGAGGCGCGAGCTTAAGAAGCTTGTGGTCACGGTCACTGACTAAAGTGGCTACTACAAATAAGAAGCGATGAGATCGTGACGTTCAAGCAGCGTCGTAAACATAAATCAAACGAGATTATTGTATGAAAACGACGTCATAGAATAGCGATTGACGAGTGCAAAAAAACAAAAAATGACACGTTTTTCTCTCCAACAAGATGCACGAACTGCATGTAACGACGTCATAATTTTGGTCCTCAACAATGTATTTCCTTTGATTACACGTGAACAGGAATGAAACATGCAGAAAAATAGAATCAACAACACAATGCTTGTGCTCTTTTATCTTCTCTCCGGTCTCGCATGGTCACAAAAAATGTGCAGAGACATGAAGTGCTTTCTGTCCAAACAAAACAAAATTGCTTCATGGGCTCCACAAGCCAACTTCATCAAAAATGAAAAGGTGCAGAGACATGAAGTGCAAGAGAGGAGCTAGCAGTGTTTGCCTTTGCTTAATAGTCTCAATAATTTAAAAGAGGAAGGACACGATGCACATAGAGGGACCGCTTGTGAGGAGGGACACACGTCATGTTAGTCCTAGTCCTTGCTACATCTTTATTTTACTCTCTCTTGGCTCTTACCAATAAAATATTTAAAGAAAAGTGAGAGACAGGTTATGTCTCTCTGTGGTCCCACGAGATGAATTGAGAAGAAGCAAAAACATAAGGAGGGGAGAGGAACGTCATGTGTGTGCAATAATATCACGTTGTCACTCAAACAAGGCTTTTA